GCCATTTCCCTGTTTCAACCATAGCTCAGCTGCTACAACGATTGTTTTGTCTGTTTCGTTTTGTTGGTCTTATTGTTTGTCTTAGTTTGGCTGTTCAAACTTTAGATACCAATATTAACGATGTTTTCTGTCAATCAGTGTTTTTGTAATGTTTCATCAGTTAGTGCTTCTGATTTTATGTATATTGTGCCCCGGTGGACAGTTCAGTCTATCCAAGCTAAACCACGGCTATATCAGGATATAACCCCAGTGCAGATGGGATTGGATTTGCCACTTCTGCAGCAAATTTTGTCTCGCCCTGATCTACACACTGTACTTCAATCTATTAAGAAACGCAATGAAGAAACCACGGTTCAGATCAAACATAACAAAAAAGAAGTACTGACAGTATAAGAAAAGGTCTGGAATGCTGGATAGCATTCTTGGTGGGAAACTTTGATTGGATAGAGTCCAACTGCTTCAGGATTTTTTAATCTAATATGTTACATCCTATTGTTGTTTTGATTTTTGTACAAATGATACTGCTAGTGTTCATGATTTTATTGTGTTACAAAATGAAACTGCTATATTTTAGACTAGAACGCTATCAAGCTCAGTGGCTGCAAGGATTATATTATGATGAGCTCCTTCAATAAGCAGGATGTCAGGTAAACCTGGGGTGAAATGATCACTCGCTGCATTAAAAGCTCTGCTGTTGCAACCCATACAGGCCTTGAGCAGTTGGGGTGGAGTTTCATTACCAGACTGACTTCCATACAGTCATGACATAGATAAACCTAGCCATCAAGGAGGGGATTGTTAGGGTAGCCTGTTATATTTTATGCTTTAAAGTTGCACCAATTTATAGAGTGGTGAATGATAGTATTGTTTAATGTTTTCTCTTATATTCAGCCTAAAGTTCTGTATAGCCTCATTGTTATTTGAGCTTTTCATTCTGCTGGTGTCTGAATATCAGATGGCCTTGCCTCTTGCAAGCAGCTTATGACCTTGAGTTTGCTTGCATGATGTTTCTTTCCTTTTCTATCACTGTGAGAAGTATTTCTAACACAACACAGCAATAGTTTTATTACTAGCTCAACTTACCTGAACTTGGCACTAACTGGTTGAATCAGAGGGATGAAATGATTGAATATGTTAACGAAAGGTGAGAAAGAAAACCAGTGAACAATGTCCAAAGTAAGACACCAGAAAAAGGCCAAATTAAGAGGTGTGCTCGTGACGGGTCTGATGAACAGAGGAATATGCTGACAGGATAAAATATGGACAATATGCTGACTGTAGAGACACCAATCTAGAAGCAAGGAGTCAAAGGAGTCAAGTTAGAGAAAAGCATAAGAGGGGGGAGCAAGAAAGTTAAGTGTGTGTTGTTATCATCATTGTCATCATGAATCCAGTTTTCAACACCTGTCTAGACTGTCCCAGCCAATGACACACCCTTTGCTTCAGGAACCGAGCGGCCGTCTTTTCTGTGAAGCAAAGTAACAACTGGGATTGGGTGAGATCATTGTACTACGTGTTTTTCTCTCTCTGAATATAGAAACTGCTAAGATAATACTTGTCGTATTAATACAGTTACACTTTGATTTTGGGACACCGAGTTGTCTGTGTTCATATTTCATGTTCCATTTAAAGGGTTAATTGTGCTTTAACAATCCCTAAGCACTATCTGATGGACAGTAGTGCTATAATAACACCAGTCCAGCTCCCTGCCAGCACTTTATGAGATGGTCTCCATGGAAACCTTGGCCCTGCATGGCCTGGTCACAGCCCTGCCACTCCTGAGGTCTCCTTGGAAACTGGTTATGGCAACACAGGCAGGGGCTGCTGGGAAATGGAGCTCAGCTACCTGCCAGATCTACCATTTTGTCCACCCTTAGCCTAGACCCTCTGAGTTCTCTTCCAGCTAAATGCCTTCTCTCTCTCTCGGAGCTGTCCAGCACCACCTCCCAGGCTAGCAGCAGGTGCCTGGAGGCAACAAGCTACTCTCCCCGGCTTGCTCCCTTTCATAGTCCCAGGGGACAGGCTTCCACTCATAAGAGAGACCTGCATCCCAGTCGTGCCACCTCCCTGTGCATCCTGGGAAGAGGGTTTCCCCACCCTCTCACATGAACCCAGCAGAAAATGCTCTGTTTATCAAGATGATAAAAGCTGAATACTGCTTGTCCAACATTCCTTCCAGTAAAGAGAAGCTGTGCTAACAGCATCTCTGATCTGTGGTACATACAACCATAGCTAGATAAAAGTACAAGAGTACTTTACCCTAAGCAAGTGTAAGCACCGTAAGGAAGTTCATTGTCAGAAATACAGCTCTTGGTAAACCTAAAGTGGGATTTAAGCACCAGGCCCAGCATATTCATGCTTGCTCCAAATTAGCCAGGCAACACTGACAATGCTTCATAGGGGGAATTCTCTGCTTCATGGGGAAACAAAATATTTCTGTTCAGATGCATTACAAGTGAGGAATGAAGCCCTGACAGGATAATGAAGTGCTTAATAAAAAGTACACAAAAGACATGCAAATGGCCTAAGATGCTCTTAGCTCTGAAAGAGGTATTTAAAACCCCTGTCAAAGTTTTAATCAAAAGGTTCCTGGAGCCCTTATTAACGAAGCAACAAAAGATGGCCTTGTAATTCTTAATGATTACAAGCTGGAAGCTTACCTCTGGGTAAGACCACTCCGGTGAGTAATCTGTCACCATGAACAAGCGCCCACTCTGCTGCAGCAGCCCCAGGGCACCTTGTGCGGCAGCTGCTGAGACCACCTCAGCAACGTGCATATAAGCCATGGTGCTGGCTCCATTCTCGGTACTGCTGAGTTGCATACTGGCTTGCTGTGGGCTGCAGCATGGGATGCACATCTCGGCCTGGCTGTAGGTTGCTCTGTTGCCATCTTCAGGCTGAGAGAGCCCAGCACTGTCACCTGACACCAGCTGGTGCCCATAGATAGTATTACTCCCACCTTCTACAGATATGAAATCATTTATCAGATCAGAAAATTGATTGCTGAAGGAGATGTCAAAGTGGTCCAAGTTAAGCTCCATGTTGGAGGAGTTATTTAAGCTGGGGTGGGCCACAGGGTAGAGTCCTTGTACCATGTTTCCTTGCAGGATAGACAGATTGTTCCCATTCCTGATACCACCATTGGCCTCAGGCTGCAAGTAGTGTTCTGTACTGCAGGCTTGAAGATCCCCTGATTTAAGTAGATTTTCATTCCCTTCTGCCTGCTGGGAGGTCTCCATGGGAACTTCAGCTTCTGCAGTCATAGCCTGGAAGTTTGCTTGGAACTGCATGAGCTGGAGGGAAGAGGTGGATTCTATTCGAGTTTCCACTGTGCCATTACAGTTAGAAGTTGTCTGGGAGGAAGATTCTGTTTTCACATTGGGGATTCCTAAAGTATTCACAAATGATCCATTTGTGTCATTCAAGTTGGTGTGGGCATTTTGTTCAAGGGGAAGAGGTTTGCTGGCATCCTGCAGAAAGAAGCTAGGGGAGGGGGTCTGGTGGACATGGGGACTCTGGACTGTCTGGCTGAAGCTGGAAGAATAGTCCTTGTTGGAGTCAATGGCACTGAAGTCCATTTGCTCCAAGGTCGTGCTGGGGCTCAGGCCTCCCCCTGACGGAAGCAAACCTGTACCTGTGGTGAGGGTGAGAGAATTAGATGCAGAGGTGGAGGAAAACGTTTCTTTGGACATCTGTTGTTCAAAAGATGTGTCCTCAGTTTTAATCTCTTTAGTGAGGGCTGCACTGAAATTAAATCCACGTTCTGATGTGGGTGACTGCCTGATGTTGGTACCAAGGCTGTCTCCTTTCAGGCCTCCTCCACCATAAGTCTGTCCCTGCTTGGGATTGTTAAGAAAACAGTCTGGATCAAAATTCATGGTGGTTTCTGGAATTTTTCTGCCACCATCCAGGGTTGTGGAAAGCACAAGCTCCTCTGAGACAGTGGTGGGCAGCATGGACAAGCTTTCTGAACTGCCTGTAGTGGGAAAAGCAAATTTGTGGCCATCTGAGCTCACCGCCAGGACCAGTCCCTGTGCAGCTGCATCTGAGGAAAGGAGGTGCTGATTTGGGCCAGAGGTGGGCGACATGGTGTACACAGCTTCGCTTGTGACTTCTGACATAAACACTGTGGCACTTTGTGACAAACTTCCCATCACTGAGGCAACAGCCATGCTGGAGACACCTGTGACAGCTGGGCTGTCAGCCATATCAGGGTCACTATTTAATCCACTGCTGATGGACACAGGGGAGTTCTGGGTTGTGTCAGGAACTTCCACCTGGTTGGTGGAAGAGACCTCAGTACTGTTTTGATGGAGCAGCACTGGCTTTGCCACTTTACCATTCCTCTTCTCCCGGCTGGAGGTCTTTCCATGACTGTGCTCGTTCTTGCCTTCAGACACATCATTATTTTGTACCTCCGAGTGAGCGCTGTACCCACCTGTCCTTGGCTCGACCTTTGGTGATATGATGCGGTGTTTGGCACTGTTACACTTGTGATGCACACTGCTACCTGCTCCTGTTCCAAAAAACAAACGATGTACATAATTAGATTATTGAATATAAGGAACTAATGTTAATTATGCCATTTTCCAATAGTGGAGAGGGAGATAATTACACTTGAGAGAGAGTGTAAGCATATGGGTGTATGTATTTCAAACACATACACACTTCCTCCCCAACAATTCACTCGATACACTCTCTCCCCAATACCGCTTACTACTAACTTCATCCTGCACCTAATCACACCACCACCTGGGATGAGGATGGGGTTCAGCCTGTGTGTCCAGTCTCAGGGTTGTTCAAACTCAATTTCCAAGTTTCATGGCTAGGAAGGTTGACATGGGTAACTACTTCTGCCTGCCATGATGATGGATGTGTGTAATATGGGGAGAGGGCGCGTCATTCTATGGGGAACTCCAAAAAGGTTCTCCTCCAATGTGTACTTGCACATGGCTGCTTGACTGGGGAGGTTCCCAAGTTGCAATCTGAAAGTGAAAAACTTCCAAGTCCCACCCCCTACACTATCCTGCCATCTATGTTATTTTTCTTATTATCTTATCCAATTACAACTGTCAGCCAAGCTCTTAAAGAGAAAAAATAATCTAGGCAGAAGATAGAAAGCTATCCCTCCTAGAAGAACTGTAACATATCTTGATATCAGCTGCATCCAACTCACATGTTGACAGCTAAAACATTTTGTAACTGGAAAGGTTATGTGCAGTGGTGATTAGCACCAGACAGGGGGAAAAGTCTGCAGGGAAAGGTCACCAGAAAGCAGCTCCTGACAGGAGCTTAGCCAAGTGGTGCCTTTACTTGCCTGTCACAGGATGGGTATCACTTGCTTCCAGGAGCTGTGAAATTAATCTGGCTGGAGTAAAGGATTCCTTCTGTGAATGTCTTTCTACCACAGAGTCTGACACCCAGGCATGTTCTCTGACAAGAACAGTCTATGAATTTTTTATATTTCTTTCTCTAATTGATTTGTTTTTCCCAGAATGAGGTAAGAAACTTAATTATTGTATAGTATAATGACCTACTGGGGAAAGAAACCTTCTCCTCATAGCTAATGGCTACAATTACAAATGCCATCTTCTGGGTATCATAAAGTGGCTGTGCAGCCACTGTAATTTTCTAATTCTTTTGTTCCATGCCCTTGAAGGGAAATTCTCTATTATATCTTCAAGATCTGAATCAGGTCACTTAAAGTAGTTCAGGACAAATCTTTTGAAACTCAATGCAGTATTAAATTTCTCTCTTCTCCTAGGAATAGAGCGGAACAAGAGAGAGGCTTCCAAGCTGCAGTCTGTGTGTGCGACTAAGCAGCTGGGGTTGTGCATGTCAGAGTGCAAGCTGCTGTAAAACAAAGCGAGACTGTTATGTTAAGAAGCATGCAGTAGAGTTAGCACAAGACAAAACATCAAAGGGGAGAATAAAAGGATTTATGTTCTGATCTGTAAGCTAGGATCAACTGCTGAGTTTGAAGGGCTGAATTTTAATCCAGACCTAAGTATTTTAGAGGTCATCAGTCTTACTTAAAATCTTCATTGTATAAAAGACTGCCAAAAAGTCTTTTGATGCACAGAGAGTATTATTCTTTGACAAGTTTCTCTAAAGACTAATTAATTTACAGTATATTTTACTTGACTGATGCAGTGCAAAGGGGTGGGGATGAGAGAGATGAGCTGAAATCAATCACACAGATTCTCACTCATTAGAAAGTTCTAATATGGGAGAGACTCAACCTTTCAAAGCTCTTTCAATCTAATTCAAACAAAGCTCTTCTCAACAGGAAGGAATTTTCATTTAATGTTTCCATCACTACTGGCAAATGGAGGACAGCCAGTTTGGGTTATCTTGTAATTAACTGCCTGAAATGCCCAAGGATCCATTGAGCACATGCAAGAACATTTCTGGCCTATAGTAAGAGTGTGAACAAAATGCAGAACAAACCATGCCAGTCTAAGGCAGCTACCAGCAGAGGGCTCAGACTAGAGCTCAGAGGTTACAAGGCATCTGCATTTTTTTAAAAGAAGCTCTTGGTTCACAGTTAGCAACTGCAAGATGCCAAAGTACATTTTTGGATTACTCTCCTCATATTTTGTGACAAAACATTTTTAACAGTTAAGTAACATCCATGAATACATAGAGCATGAATGAAGTTGCAATTTGAGAACTCACCAAAGGACAAAAAGGTGACAGAAAAAAAAAATTAAATGTTTCATAGATCCTAATTCCTTATTTATAGATTTCCCCAAAGACTTAAAATAACTATCCAGAGGAGTTTTATTCTGGAAAAACTTTTATTCCATCTGATAAAGGCTATTTTACTTTGCTAAAAAGATAATTTCTTATATGATAGAGACATTTAGTAACCGTGTTTGATAAGAGGGCTCTCAAATTTATGAGGGTTTAACACAGAGTTGGCAGTCACTTAATGAAGATCCCATTACTGCAGTGAGAAGGTATGAGACTCAGCTGTAATACAATAAATATGATCATAAGAAACACAGTCACACTGAACTGTGCAGCCCGAGAGATTCCACATTGCTGAAGAGCAAAAGGTTACATTAGAGATCTGTATTGCCTAGTCAAACTCACTCTTGGTTTGATCTTTCAACAAAGCCTACAAAATCTAGCAGATCTGTCCAAAGCTGAAGCTTCTATTTTCCTTAATGTCCATGAGAATGATGTATGTGCAGGTGAGGAGGATACTGTCCGAGGAAGCATTTCTTTTACAGCAGGCCAAGCTACTTTCTGAAGCATGAAAAGCCATTTCCAGGAAATGCCTAGGGACAGCACCATCTGCTGCCAGACTGGGCAGCCCGTCTAGGTGAAAGAACAATAAATAAAGACCCCAGCTAGCTCTTTGTATTATTTCAAGTCATCAGCAATAGTTTCCTATGAGCTCCTTATAAACTTCATTCACAGGATATCAAATCAGCACCTTAAGGCACTGACACAAGTGTGCACTTGCGAAGTGTTTTCTTGCTGTGTATTATGTGTTTGATTTAGCAAGGGGCTCCCCATCCTCCTCCTGCTACTCACCCAAGTTACCAGTGCAGAGACAGTTGTGCGTTCGAGGCTGGGGTTTTGTCTGATGACTATCCAGGATCTGCTGCACAAGCTGCTCCACAGAGAATCCTGAACTGCTGTTGCCATTGCTGCATGTCCACTTAATGCCATGAACTGTGGAGAGAACAGCAGAAACCTCCCATCAGCGACTAGGCAGAACACCCCAGCAAACCAGCATGGGATCTCCTTAGAGAGGGTGGGGAGCCATTCCTCTGCTTCCCAGTGTTGTGAAATCTACAGGACGATAATTAAAGACAATATTCAGTAGTAACACTTTGCTGTTGTCTAGCCCCTTTTATCTGCAGATTGCCCAGTACTTTATAAGCCACTCATGGATGGGGTCTTGCAGCCAACTTGTACGTTAGGTATCATCACTCCCACTATGCAAGCTGAGGCTCAGCTCAGTGACTTACCCTAGGCCACACATCATGCTAGGGTATATCTGTGCAACATAGTACAGTGCTCTGCAGACACCCAAGCTGGCTTAGGTACCAGGAGCAGCATAGCTGAAGTCGCTTGCTGTTCTGTCAGGGTCAGTAACTGGGAAGTAGAATGGGCATACTTGTCTGGGTAGGGTGTTGCATTGACATGGATGGACTGCTCCTGATACCACAATACATCTCCTTGGCACTGCCATCCATTATATAGAGGTACCCTTAGGTTAGGCCTACAGTGATACTTAGGATAGTCCCTAGGGCCACTATGAAACACATACCCAGCAACTTTCTACACTGTAATCCTCTAAGCTCAACCTTCAGTGGCTGTCTAGCCCAAGCTTCTGGTGCATACTGAACTCAGCTGAGCACTGCAGGCTGTAAACATGGAAGATCTACTAGCAGCAAACCTGAAATATCCTGTTTCTGACTTTGGCCCTTCTGTACCCCACTTCCCACCTCTACTGCCACTAAGTACAGAAGGACACAAGTAGTCTGCAGATAGGCTCCACTTGAAGTACCAGAAGCACATAAGCCTTGGTGCAGATTACAAGATAGAAAGGAGTGGCTCATAGAGCCCAGGCTGCTCGAGGGAAACCCATAGGGTAAGGGTAGGCATCAGTGCCAGAGCATGGCATGCAAAAGCATTTTGCTAGGCATGTCCACACCATGGCATACAGCAGGGAAGGGGCCATAGCTGCACTGCCACAACAAGGATCAGGCCCCTTGCAGCTCCCCCACCATCCGCCCCTGGCACACCAACATCTTACAAGTCAAGGTTGCCGGGGGCACTCTGCCCAAAAATTGTTGCTGGCCCCTACCTTAGGGTCAGTTCTAAATAGACTCTAAATAGCAGAGCCGGGGATAGATGTGAGGGAACCTACCTCAAAGTCCCTTTTTCTAAAGCCTCACTACCTCACTTTGTAGGGTTCTCTAGCATCCCAGAATTTCTAATGCAGGATATACCTACCTCTTGGTTTAACTAGACACAGACAGAATGAGAGACCAAAGAGATGCCCAGAAATACAGATTCAATCACAGAAGAACTAGTACAGCTGAGTGCTCAGTAAGATTTTTATCCAATCAGCTAAATATGCACTGCAAGTATATTGCTCAACAGCTACGACTATGGTGTTATAAGAACTAATCCAAGGAGAAAATTGAGATGTAAATATCGTTAAAAAAAATTATCTGTTTAACCTCCTCTAATTATATCAGTTAAATGGGTCATTGATAACACATACCTAGTCTCAGCTGGGGTATGCAGAGCCCACATGAAGCCATAGGAAGCACCAGCAACTGAAGGGCTTTCCCACCTTGCTTCAGCTGCCAGCACAATGGGAGGGAGGGATCAGGCCAGCTATGCATACTAGTCCTCCCTCACTCCCACTTGCCCTGCTGCTTTCCTGTTGCTGAGGCGCTGTGCTGCTTCCCTTCCCCACCAGACTCCACCCCATGCTAAATATTAACTGGTAATGCATTCCTGGTATAAATACACCAATCATTTAATCATTTAACCTTTCACATTCCTAGAGGAGATGTTACAAATTTCACACATCTTCTTGCAAACCCTTTTCTGCAAACCCCCATGTAACAGAGAACACTAATCCAGTAACAGGGAAGAGAGGACTAGGGAAAAAAAAAAAAATCAGCAAGGAGGAGGGGAGCAAGTATCTGCGGTAAGGAAGGGTCTCACTAAAGCAGCCAGAATAGAGAAGTACTTGGCTGTCAATTCCAAGATACAGCTGAAGAGAAAGGGGTAAGCTTCCCAGTGCAAGTAAGGGCACAGACTGCCTAAGAAGAAATGGCCAGCCCTAAGTTATAGGCTCACCTCCTTGCAGAGTCTAACCTACAAACAGCTAGCTACAAAACACAACCTCTAAATAGAGGGGAATTAGCAGTGTATAAATATGCCCAGTCAGATGACCAGTGGGAAAAGGCTGATTGGTATATATACTCTTCTACAGGGCAGGGAGGGACAGAGCTCTCTAGGGAGGTGGGAGTGGTTCTCTTAGAGCTGGGTGCAGTGGATGAGTGAGTACATGAGAAGCACTGAGAACTTTTTATTTTAACTCAGGAGGGGTCCTGGGCAGTCAGTACTCCTAGATGACTAGGTTGTCTAGGAGTCCTGGGAGGGGTCCTGGAGAGAGAGCACAACTCAGAGGACCAAGAACTGTTTATGCTAACCAGATAGGGGTCTAGTTTTCTTTTTTTCTTCTTGCTGTCCATTGGTTAGTAACACCTAGTGGACCATGGCAACTGTCAGGGAAAGTACAAAGACCACAGAGCAGAGTACTTAGCATCCTGTGATTTTTTTTTTTTTTTTTTTTTTTTCTCTTTGTTTTTTCTCCTGTTTAGTCTTCCTCTTTTTTTGATGGTGTTTCTGGGGGAGAGGTAAGTGGAAACTGAGCTGAGGCCCAGGACAGGCCAAAGCCTAGGCATGCTAGGTACCCAGACCAAAGCAAGAGGGGCTAAACCCCTCAAAAGCCCTGGCCAAAGACAGAATGGGGGGAGTAAGGCACCTGCAGCTGGACCCTGGTTACCCAAAAGGCAGCCTCCTAAAACAGCACATTAGGTATGGCAAGTGGCAGAGAGGAACCAAATTGGGGAACTGAGGTAGGTGGACAGGTGCAGGGTGACCACCAGGCATTGTCATGGCTACCCCTGGAAGTGCATCCTGGTATACCACAATAATTGTACAGATGGCTTCTCCTCAACTCCACAAACAGTAGAGCTGTGTGAAGCTTCGGTCCCTGATTCGATTCAGAGGAGATCTGGCTAAATCTCCAAACCCGAATCAAATTGGAGGACCCTTTATTCTCTCCGAATCAATTCAGAACCCTCCAAATCGATTTGGAGACATTCAGCAATTCAGGACGTGGATACATCTTTAAATGTTTTTCCTACATATCTCTAGGTAGCAGGGGCTCTGAACCTTGTGCTGCTGGGGCAGATGCAGTGTCCTCCCACTTCCAGGTTCGCTGACAAGCACCCCGTGCTTCTGTGGGATGCTGCATCTACCCCAGCACCACAGCAATCATGAGCCACACCTGTTACCTCAAGATATATAGAAAAAAGCTTTTAAAGCTGTGCCTGTGTCCAAATCGCTGATTCACTGGATTCAGCCAAATTGGATTGGGGACAGTGATCCAAATCAATGGATCGAATCACTGTCCTGGATTTGAGCCGCATCTGAATTGAATAGGGCCCATTTCACACAGCCCTAATGTACAGTCAGTATGTGAATGCAAAGAGGGGGGAAAAGTTATTACAACAGGAAATGGATTTCAGTTTCCTGTTAGCAGGGGTTCATTAAACAATGTAAGCAATAAAAAATAAGGGCACAAATTGTCCTGATGGTGTATTTTAACATTCATTAAAACCTAGCAGGCAACGAGAAGATGAGATGGTAGCATTTGTGTTTGGTTAAAGTAACTGAGCAGATTTCAGGAACATTATTCTGGAACCCATTTCTCCAGATTATGAAAATGGAACTAATTAGCATCTTAATAAAATAATCAACAAAAAATGTCCTGATTTTTATTTAAAAAAAAAAAAATAGCTATATCTATCTATATCTACACAAACTCACTCCCCTTTGATTGTACAGGTCAACAGTGTGACTACAGAGTGTTAGACCCCGACTCCATGTGGCGCCCAATGACTGGGGAGATGACGATCCAATTGCTCATGGATTCTGTTACTCATTAGCCACAGCAAGCAGGGAGCAAACACCAGCACACATTGCTCTCAACAGCTTTATTCAGAATGGAGATGGCTTCGGACTAGCTCCCTCACAAACACACAGCCTCTGAACACGGGGAGCCGCAGTGAACATTAGTTCTTTTCACATTTTATACACCTTGGTTCATGCTCATTAACATTTATTCCACCCTCGCTCCTCCCATCTCAAGCTCCACCTCTGTTTACTGTTTGTTTCATTAGCATGGGATTACCTATGCATTTCATTCATTTACATGCTTCTCTACTAAGAGCGCATGTGCAAGACTTTGACCCCGGCTTCCTCCTGTCACTTGCTGGTTCTTTCTGGTTTCTTGCTGACTCCGTCTTCATCTCCAAGGTCTTGCTTCTGCTTTATGTCCGGATGATAGCTGGTGGACTGCATCTTGTTCTTCTTCCACAATGAACTATATATTTTTACAACACTACTCCATTGTTAAGAAACTGCTTACCCAAGCATTTGCAATGTTACTTTTAATATATCATCCTGCCTTGTGACCAGCAGCTCTGCTGAGACACAGAAAAAAGCCTTTATTCAGCTGCAAATTCAGTGCTCCCCAAGATCCAAATACGGTCACTCTAACAAAGAGTTCACCCACATTTCACCAACAGTTATACCTACATTACAATCCCCTTGTTTCCCCTTTCCCCATCCATTTCCCCATACCTATTCCATCTCATTCCTCAGCCCAAAACCAAACCCTCCCCTTTCCCTTTCCAGTCTTCATTCACAGCGCTGCAAATCTTCTGTTGTCATTTCCTGTGCTTGTTTCATGAAACATTATGTGTCATCTTTTCCTCTTCCAGGTCTCTTCTGCCTCTCTTTCCCCCATGTCTTCCTTTATTATTTGGAAGTACAGCTGCAGTTCACTCACCTCCAGTCTTAGGCAGTCCTCTACTGGGAGGCTTGTACAGCAGAAAGTTTCTGGTTTTCCACAG